CTACTAAGAAATTGCCAACGGGGTTGCCAAATAACTCCTGGCTCTGCTCCTCTTCTTCTCCTTCTAAGTTCATCTTCCTCCCCTTCCGCAGCTCAGATGGCTTCTTCCTCCTCGCAAGCTGCCCCTACTTCATGCCCAGCTCCATTCCGCACAGCCTCAAGCGCCTTACAGAACCGCGCAGAGGAGGAATTGCTGCTCTAAGGAATCATTTCCGCACCGCGCACCGGGGCTCCGCCGATCGCCGCACACGACCCGAAAGCGCAAGTCCCGCTGCGGGATGCCGGCCGAGCAGCCCAGAAAGGCCGCGACGCATCCGGGACACACTCACCACCACCTCCTCGAAGATGCTCTGCAGCTGCGTTTCCATGGGCACCATAGACATCGCCATTGTCCCACCGGCCTGCCCTCCGTTAGATGGACACGGAGGCGCAGAGCGCCCCCTCCAGCCGGAAGTTCCCTCCCTCCGGCTGTCACGGAGTTCCGGCGGGGCGGGGCGGGCGCAGCGCCTGCGCGCAGAGCAGTGGGTGGCTGCGTGTCGCTGTGTGTTACTGCTGGCTTTGAGGTTCTGCGCTGCATCTGCATCCTTGTACCGAAACTGCTGTTAATTCTGTCAGAGCAACGCGTAGGAGCGTTTCTGTGCACTGTGGGCAGACTGGCTGGTCTTTTACCAAGTGGTAGCACTCGGGAGGGTTACCTGCTGCAATTCTTTGTCAAACTCAAAATCCATTCCCGTCACAGGATGGGAAATGGAGCCCTTGGGAGGTGATGTAGTTCATTTTATGCCTTGAGGATCCTTACTGCTAGCTCACAGGCTAATAGCAGTTCCCAGCCATGCCTTCAGCTGCAGCCCTAAGATGTACCAAGCCCACTTTTATCCTTAAAATTGGATTACAAGGTAGTCTCAACTCCCTAAGATATCCCAGCGGCGACTTAGCTCATGAATTAACCCCTCACTGTATTGGGTTCGTGTGTCAAAGCAGTAGGAACTGTGGAGATATCCTCTGTGAGCAGGGACCAGCACTGCCTCACATCAGATAAAAGCCAGCTCCAGCTGTTCCAACAGGGACCTGCTGCTGGGCAGAGCTCAGCCATAAGCAACACTGTGTGTCCCTTTGGGAAAACAAACTGAAGAAATGGGAAAGAGGCTGTACAACAGCAACTGGGAGATGTGAGTGAGAAATGTGAGAGAAACAGCCCAGGAGCCCCTAGGGTTGGTGCAGGAGGACAGGAGGTGCTGCAAACTGTAATGATATTGTTATGCTCAGTAAGTCCCTTGATGGATGACCCTATAGTTTGTTTAGACAACGGGAAGAGTCTGTGTATTTGTACCAAACAGATAAAGAGAGTTCTGTTAAGTCTTTGTACCAAATAGATAAGGAAGTTCTGCTTGGAATCCATTGTGAAAGCAAATACTGAATATGTACATACCTCTGGGAAAACCTCTGTGTATGTAACACAAGTAATGTGTTTAAGCTGAAGATCTTTTGTGCAAGGTATGCATGACAGGTGGAGCTCAACACCCATGCATCCAGCTCTGATTATAATAAAGAATGCCAGCTTTCTAAACTCCAGTTTAAGTTTTAGAGAGTTTCTTGATAGACCAATTTATGGTATCCAAGGTGCTCCAGGCTGGAGCAGCAGTTCCCTGCAGCCCAGTAGTTGCCCATGGTGGAGTAAGCTGTCTCCTTGCAGCCCACGAGAACCACACAAAGCTGGTCTCCAGGTGAAGCTATGGAGGAGCCTATGCATAGCAGTGGATGAGGCCTGAAGAAGGTATGGTTCATAGAGAGCCCCACAGGAGTAGGGCCTGAGTTGGAGGAGCCCTTCATGGGGCAGGAGGGCTTAAGGAGCTGCTGTCTGTGGGGACCTGTACTTGAGTAGTCTGCTTTGAAGAATGAGCACCATGGTAAGGAGATGTGTAGGAGCAGTGCTTGAAGAACTGCAGGCTGTGGGACGTGCATGTGGGATTAGTTGAGGAAGGATGGCATCCTGTGGAAGGGACCCCACATTGGAGCAGAAGCAGAGTGACCATGAAGGAGAACCAGAGATGAAGCATTATGGAGTGACTGTAGCCTCCATTCCCAATTCCCTTGTACCTCTCTGTGAAAGGAGAAAGAATGGATGGAAGGGGTCTTTTTAGTTTGGTTTTTAGTTTGCTGAAAGCTCTGCTTTTCAATAGGCAGTACATTATATTAATCTACCTATGCTGAGTCTGTTTTCCCTGTGATGGTAAGTAGTGAATGTTCTGCCTGTCCTTATCTTAGCCATGTAATGAGTTTTTTTCATCATATTTTCTCCCCTGTTCTGTTGAGGAGTAGGAAGTGGAGCTGAGCAGCCCATCGATGTGAAACCACCACGCTCATCCATCCAGATCTTATGTTAGTCAGACTGCAATACATATGATCCTACCAATGGCAAAGAATCTAGTCCCTGAGGCCCAAGCCAGGGCTGTTACTTAACAACTCAGTCTTAAGTAATGCCTTGTGTCGAGGACCCAAATGTCAAAGAGGAAGAACTGTACAGATCTTAAGGGCTGGGATTATGCCTAGGTGTTTTTGGCAAGGAATGAAGCTCTGGAGAATTCTGTGTGTTAGGTAATACAGGGCCTGTAAGCTTTACCAAACAAGGAAGTAAAGAAACATTAGCATGATAAAGAAATGACCCTCTTATTCCAGTGACTTAAAAGGAAACATACTTTACAAAATTACTTTAAATATTTTTAAAAAGTAAGCAAACATTATCAAAAGTAGCATTATAGAATTGTTATACAAGTACAGTAAGAAACTTTTATATCCATTCTAACTAGTGGATTGGTCTATAATTTATTTTTATAATGTTATTTTGCTGGTTTTACTACTGAGAAAGACCAGGCTAAAATGGTTTACAAAATGAATGAACAATAAAGAGAAAGGAATAAGGTATTCTTTTTTTTCCAGGTAATATTAGCATTCACTTATTCGATAACCCATTTTTTTGGCACCTGATTGCTTGATCTAGATTATTATTACTCTCACCTTTTTAATTAATAAAATTAATCTGTAGGCAGCAGTAAAGCATGCTGTGGTGTTTCAGAACAACAGATGTGAATACATGGTGCTTTCTGGGTATGAAACTTCCCCTTTTGGCTTCCTTTCCAGGATCTCTGCATTCTAGATGTGAGTTTCTAATTTTTCCTTTTTATTCAAACTGATTACCTGCAAATATTTATGAGAGAAATGATTAAGCTTTGTCTTTTTCTTCTTTTCTTTCCTCTTTTTTTTTTCCCCTCTATGTGAATGCCATTCATTTTAGAAGATGGACTAGGAATGAGTATAAAGGTGTGTTTTCATTAATAAAGATAAATAAAGCCTGTCTAGTTCTTTGTAGTCTTAAGTACCCTTAAGTACCCATACAGGTGTGATAACACCATTCTTTCCTGGAATTACCTGAACATCTGCCTGCTGATGGGAAGTAGTGAATAAATTCCTTGTTGTGCTCTGCTTGTGCATGCAGCTTTCCTTTACCTACTGAACTGCCTTTAACTCACCTTGAAAGCTTTTTTTCCTTTTGCCATTATTATTCTGTCCTCCATCCCACTGGGAAGGAGCGGGGCTTGGCTGTCTACTGGGGTTAACCCACAAGAGTACTTTTTGGTATCCAGGATGGGACTAGATAACATTCAAGATAACGACAAATTTGATTGGGATGTTCTAGACCAAATTTGTAGCTGTTATAGCTGTTGAAAACAACATGGAGCTCTTACAGTGAGTCCAACATGGGGTTACAGAGATGATTAAGGGGCTGGAGCATCTCTCTCATGAGGGAAGACTGAGAGAGCTAGGCCTCTTTTAGGCCTCTTTAGCCTGGAAAAAAGAAGACTGAGAGGGAATCTTATTAATCTGTACAAATATCTTAAGGAAGAGTATCAATAGAACGGAGCCAAGCTGTTTTTTGTTGTGCCCAGCAACAGGACAAGAGGCAAGGGGCTCAACCTGAAATACGGGAAGTTCCATCTGCACATAAGAAAAAACTTCACTGTGAGAGTAACAAAGCCCTGAATAGGCTGCCAAGAGGGGCTGTGGAGTCTGTTTCTCTAGAGGTATTTAGAACACACCTGTGTGTGATCCTGGGCAATATGATCTAGAGGACACTGATTGAGGCAGGGGGGTTGGAGTAGATAATCCTAAGTGGTACCTTCCAATCTCAGTCATTCTGTGTTTCTGCAATCTAGCTATTAATTGGCAGGCTTCTGTTCTTGCCAGGGGTCTTGCTTACTTTACAGTGTATTAGAGTCCAGTGATTGTTAGTGGTTGCTGTTTGCTCTATGCCTTATCAACTTACTTTGCTGTTCCTGGGAACATTTTGATAACAGCAAATGCTACACCCCTGGGATGGTGTATTGTCAGGGCAGTGCTGTTCTTCCTGTGCTGCTGTACTAGATAGGCTAGAGCTACAGTGCCTCAAGTCAGAGGGTGTGTGGCTTGTGAGTACTTCCATGCTGCAACAAGTACACCCCTTAGGGGACTGCAGCCCTTGGATACATCCGTGCTGGGGCAAGGGAAAGAAGAGAAGTACAATGCAATGTTAAATCTTATATCCTGATCTACAGGGACCATTCAGTTCAAAACCCCTGCCGTGGGCAGTTTGCCACCCACCAGATCAGGTTGCCCAAAGCCCCGTACAGTAAAGGAAGGAAGCTCAAAGCATAGTTGCGACCACAGCAGGAGCTATAAAACCATCTGCTTAAGTATTGCTTTCTTTGGAAGCAGCAAGTACTCTGTGATGGCCTTTTAACCAAATACCTGAGTAGTCATATTCACAAGATACTGCTTAGCAACATATTATTTCTAATCTACAGTTTATTTAATGCCATCTTTATCTTGAAATGTGACTGATGTTCTCTGTGCTCAAATGCTTCTTCTCAACCTTTGACCTTGCTTGGTAGCTTTCCTGCTTACTTTGGCATCCTGCAAGCCTATCACCAGTGCAAAAGTTAGGACTTCGATAAAGTCCTGTGAACAAAGTACATACACACTTGAAGCACGAGCAGCCTCTCAGTTGCAGCCAAGCCAGCTGTGCAGCGAGAGAAGCACAGTGTGTGTGCAGCTGAGAGCAGGCGTCAGCGGAATGGATCCAAACAGTGAAATTGGCATGCATCAAAGCGGACATTTGGATGAGGTGATTTTACAACCAATGGAATATGTGAAGAGAAAAACACTCCAGAGATACAAGATCATCTGTGGTGTAAGTAGGCACTGCTCTTCAGGGCGGCGACTCCTTTTTTTCCTTTCAGATCTGTAAGAATTGCTTTAGCAATTTTCAAATTCACAGAAGTTTTACTGGTTTCCTTATATTAATTTAATAATTCAGGGCAGTGTGATAAGTGGTGAAGTTCTGTAGCATGAAGGCATGAACTTCTCTGGCAGATTTCTGAAGTGCTTGTGGTACTTATCAAGAGGCTTCAGCTCTGTCAAAAATTTTTTTCCTGGCAGTGAAGTACATTTTTTGCTTTACTATGATAAACTGACAGTTTGCACAGTAGGTGGTGTTTCAATGCAGTGTTTTCTATATTTGTTTAAAATATGTTTAAATCTGTGGGCAAAGCAGCCCCAGTTACTTTTTGGTTAATTTTTTGTGCGTTCAGACTCATCATCAGTGAAAAAGAGTATGTAGGAAAGGCAGTGATGAAAAACACTTCTGAAGCATAGGAAAAGATGAATGAACTATTTCATCTGGTGTTGTCAGCCTCACATTTCAAGTATCGTGCCAGTTCTTTCCCTCTTCCCCAAGGCATTGAGAGTCACACAGCTGCCTTATAAATAATACTATGTAGGGCTTTTTATACATTTTTGAGACCTTTTTTTGAGCTGATACACATTTTTGGCTTCTGTTTTTGACCACAAGTGAAACAAATCTTGAATGTATACATATGAAAAAGAGAGGCAAGTTGTGACACTTTTCATCATCATATCATGAAAACAGATTCATATACTATGACTTCCTATCTAATGCTTCATTGTGTAAGTATTGCATAGTATATGAGAGAAATACTGGAAGCTGAGGAAAAGAAGTGAAAACAGGCATTTTTCTCTTTAAATCTGCAATAAAAATAATTTAACCATGAGAGACAGTGTCAGAAGTATGCCTAAATAAAGTACAAAATAAATGGTGCTTTCAAGAGTTACTTGGAAGAATAAACTGAGAAGCATCCTAAAACACAGGGGCTGTTCCGCACTCAGACAACAAAACCCAGGACAGTCCCCTAAGGGCAATATGCTCCCTGTCCAGAAGTAGAAATTGTTCTGGCCCAGATGTGACCCCTAATTCTCAGTCCTTCCTAGATGGATGTGGCACTGAACTGTGGCCTTCACAGCTGGGTCCAGGCAAGGATCTCTTCAAGAGATATCACCCTGCCTTTTCCAATGCTTTGAGCAACAGCACTTTTCCCACCTGTCTCTTTTATCCGGATCTCTTATCAATTCCATTTCCATTCCTACTGTTGGGATATTCGTCCTCTCTAAAAAACAGGGAGTGAGCAATAGGGAGCAAGTAAGGGTGATCTTCCCGGTTCATGGGAAGGAATAGTGTGTACTTAGGATGTGTCCCACTGGATCTGCCCAAAATGTACACACACCCTCAGCAGAGGCCTGGGCATCGCTCCACACCACTGCCGGTTGGTGAGATGTTGGGACACAATGAGCCCAGGGTTCTACTGTGAGCAGAGATGGGTAAACAGTAACAACACGGCATGTCTATGCTTGCTTATATCCTGCTCACTCATGTAGGTTTTATCAGCTCTTTGTAATTTCCATAGTCGCAGTTAAGCCATTTGGTAATGCCTGGTGGATGCTGGAAGTAGCAGGAAACAGAAGTAAACTGAGACAAAAGCCGGAAACAGAGTAGATTGCTTGATGGTGCTTTTCTCTGAGAAGCATTTTCTTTCCCATCACTGCCTTACTGAAAAGTGGATGCATTGTGATACAGTCTAAGAGGGTTGTCCTTTTTTGCTGTTCCAGCCAGCATGTCTGTTAAGCTGCGACAGGCTTCCACAGTGCTTTCCCAGTCTCCCAAATGTTGTGACTTTCTTTTAGGGAATTTTCTTGGACTACTTGTATATTTCTTGTTTCCTCTAACCTCACTATTACAGTGTCTTACCCATTAAGAGAAAATGTCTTGTGGTGAAAATTTAGTATATACATCTTCAGTCTAGCTGAGCTTTATAAGAAATCCCTGTAGGCATTTCAGGAAAATACGGAAGCAATAAAAAAGAAATATTGGCTTGTGAAAGATTGAGATTTCCTTCTCTTTGCATAGATCAAGAATTTGAAAAATACATAAATGTATTTGCTACTTCCTGCTATTTTTTCCCCTGCAAAGACTTCCCCAGTCACAAGATGGGACCAACCGTAGGTTAGAGGTGCAGTATTTAGGTGTTGCCTTACAAGCAGTTCACAAGATTATTGTTTCTGCACCTCTCCTATCATAATTTCTACTAAACATAAAAGCTTATTATGAACTATGATTTTTTGTGTGTCTGTGTGGCAGGTTCTGCTAAGTGCTTTGGTGGTTGTATCTCTGGGACTAGGTCTGGGACTGGGACTAAACCGTGGAGCCCAGGAGCAAGGTATGTTTATGATATTTTTAGTGTAATTACCACTGAAGCTAGATCTGGTAAAGGCTTTCAATGAAGGCTCTTTTGTAATGTAATATAAATATTCAGTGAAAAGTTGCCACCTAAAATTCTTGTATTTTTTGAGTTGGACTGTATAAATCCTGTACACATAATTTATGCTTGAAAAAACCTCTCCTAAACCACTGCATGTCTCACTTCTCACTCTACAGTTGTTAAACCTGCTTCACAACAACTTTGGAAATTTTGTCTTACTAGTGTTTCTATGAAAATTGAAATAGGATGTATCTTGTCATATGTAACACTTTACAATTATTTGAGCGATGTGTTTTGTAGAAGAGATGGTGACCACTGTCAACATTCATACTTAGAGTGCATGTGACATAGTTGAGGTGGCTAAAATTTGTCATAATTTTTTTTTGAAAACTTATATTTATGGAATGCTATGGTAAAAAGGGATGTTTTGATTTGATGAAATGTTATTACTTAATTAAAAAAAAAGCAGAATAGCGTATTAAGGAGTCAAGCAACATTAGGACAAACAAACATCACCCGGTGAATTGAAACACTTCCGTCAGAGTCAAGACAATATCAGTCTCATACTGGAGGAGTTCAAGGATGCACAGTATCTTTTTCATTTCTAATCAACATATATCAAACTTCTATACCTACTTACTCATCAGCTTCTAACTCTTTCGAAGATCTTTCAATCCTAGCTGAACAAGACGGAACTGAAATTATTTTTTATGACAGATGTATTGTACTACTACTTCCTCTGTAAAATGCATAGATACCTACCATGTGAATCTTCACTGACATTTACCTAAGGAACTTGGTCACAGTTGCAGTAAGTTAATGGGAAATGGAAGATGGTGCAAAACGAAAATTTTGGTGTCTCTGCAGACATTATGGAGAATTCCAAATAGGGCCTGCCTAACTTTGTTTTCTACCTTTATAACCAGATCTACTTCAGAAAGATGAAGTAATGACACACAGTGCTACAAGGCAGTCAGAGGGGAAGCCTCAACCTGGAGTGGTACATGACTGTACTGCTGCATTTCTTGTGAGGACAAAGGGAAAGATTGGCCCTGTTCAGAGGCAAAGGGAGTCATGGCTGAGAGGCATTTTGGGGGGTTATAGTCTTGGGAGGAGTCAGTGGTGAGTAGTGGTCCACTGCTCTGTACAGTTAGACAGACATGACATCTGGTGATGTATTACAATTCCTTCTGTTTATATACCCAAGGTAAACTTGATAGCTCCTATAACTGCACTGACTATTCCAGATAAAATTTCCTGACATACTAAATTTTAACATTAATACCATACTAAGTTTGCAGAACTCACACATTTCTGTAAATGTAGTGAAGAAATTAGAGGCATGGATTGCAGGTTATTAGAAGTATAAACAGTTATATTTCAGACAGAGGAAAAGGTTTATATTTCTTCTGAAATACATATTCTGTATTCTATATCACTTTAATTCAGGTAGAGGACCTAAACAACTTTGAGCTGTTTTAAAGCCAATGGATAGGGGAAAAACTAAATTAAATACTTTAAGTTTCAGTTTAAAAGCAAAGAAAAACTGCACATTGGTGGAAAATCACAGCTTTTCTTGGCAGAGCAGGTTCCAGCCATGAAATGATTTGCTATTAGTTTCTTCTTTCCATTTGTACTTTCTCTTGAAATATCCATTTATGATCATTACATGTGTTTGTTCATTGTTCTAATTACTTGCACAGCTTGGCTGCGTGGACAGTTATTGTTGATGTATGAAGGTAAAGAACAAAGTGCAACTTCAGAGCTTTCTACATGTGAAAAAAGCTGACTAGCTTGAAAAAAGAAAGTTCTTAGCTCCACATAATTCATACACAGTGGATATTAACGCCTGATTTTTATAGGCAGTGCACCTTGCACAAGCACAAACCTTTTGGCAACGATTACAGAATTCTACTAGCAGGCCTAAGCACTTATATGTATTTCTATGTAATTCTGTGGATGGGTGACAAAACTGGAAATGTGGATGCTTAGATTGTTTCAGACATTACTTCTCCAGTACAGAGATCACAGATGCAAGGCTCTTAATGACTCAAGGGGAGCTTCAGGTGGTGTTTTGTGATTCGAAGTTGTCTTTGGATGTATCAGAGCTCTTGCTCCCTGCATGGAGGTATCAGAGCTGTGGTGAGGAACTAATTGCACATTTCAGTTTCCTGTGTAAGGCCCTTCCTTTGGATCCTTTTCTTTCTTTCAGTCAAAACAATCAAACCTGCAGGATTTTTAGGCACTTTGTCCCAGCTAAGTGGAAGGGAGATGGTCAGGTTCCTGAGTGTACTAAAACTCATAGCCTTCCCCAGCTCTCTGGGTTTCTCTGTGTCCTGGACTCAGCAACAAGCTGGGGAGATACCAGTTGCTGAGATGTAGAAACAGCTGTGACAGAAACTCTAGGTGAGCACACTTGAAACTAAAACCAGGACATTTGCATCTCAAAGACCTTCTGCAGCTCTTGCATTGCTTGGTCCAATCTGTGTACTAGCAACTGCAGTGGAAACTGACTCAGGATATTGTTTTGGGAAATCACTCAACACCTTTTATGTCTGAATCCACAATCTGTTTAGCTTATCCAGCTGGGACAAGGCTGTCTTGCAGCCTGGGCACTAAGAGTCCCTGTCTTCTTGTTGCAGTCAGCTGCAGACACAAGTGCAACGAGCCCTATCGGAAAGAGGTGGCAGGCTGCCAGTGTGATAGCAGCTGCGAGGAGCGTCAGGACTGCTGCTGGGACTATGAAGATGCCTGCGTGGAGCCAAGTATGTTCCCTTAGAGGCAATGCTCATTGGTTTCTATACTGTTTTCTTTTGTTGTATAGTACTGACTGAAAAAAGACCAATTCTCTTATTTGCACAGGGATATGGAAAGCTGTCTGATTAAAAGCTTTGAGGCTTGCTTGCCGCACGATGATTTGGGGAGGGAGGAAGTTAGTGGTGTTGAGTGAATGCTGCATTCAGATTGTTAGAAGTCCTTAGCCTACGTGACAAGAAATCTTTCTGGATCTCTTTCAAATTATCTCATTTTTTTGCTATGAAGATGCGTGCCTTTTAGGCAAAAATATTTCTTCAAGTAATTTGTATGGGTTTCACATATCACATTAGAGCATAAAGCAGTGTAGCAGAGAGCACGGCAGTACAGCACAGCCAACTCCCTTGGATAACCAGAGCATTTGCAGTGAATGTTTCCTGGTCCAGATTAAGTCATGGATGAATGGAAACACAGGTTTCCTTTGACTAGTTGACTGAAATGATGCTTGTGTGCCGGCACCTCTTGTCCTTTTGAAAATTAATGCGTGTTTCCCATGAAATGTATTCTCGGCCTTATGTAGGCCTGAGAATTACTCAGGAATAATTAGCAGAATCAGGATTACAGTATTCCTCCAGGAAATTTATCTGTTTCTGCATTAAATCTAGATTCTTAGCCAGTTACTCTGCATGCTCTCTTTGCAGCAGCTTGGGATTTTCTTCATCCTTATCACTTTCTGCCTGTTTCTGCCCTCCTTAGAGCCTTTTTGCTCTCTGCTACAGATTGTGCACAATAGAAGTGGAACAAAAAGATCTACTACCTTCTTTTTCTCTTCCATGGATTTATTTATTTATTTATGTTGAGATCTTCCAGGAAAAGTGTGGAAGGCATTGAACAAGATGACTTTGAGAGTGCATTTCTAAAATGGTTTATTCTATGATTTGTTGTTACCATTTGGTGGCAAAAAAAAATGGTCTTTATGTGTTAAAAGGAGTCTTGTGTTTTCGTCTCAGATAAAACTGTCAAGCTACTCAGGTAGGAGATGTTAATATGAGTTTAAAGTTTACATGAAGTTCTGGGACTCAAATAATGTCTTTCTTCCACTTTTCAGCTCGATCCTGGAGTTGCACTAATTTCCGTTGTGGTGAGACAAGATTACCTGGAAGTTATTGTTCTTGTTCTGATGACTGTTTGCAGGAAAATGACTGCTGTGTAAACTACAATACTGTTTGCAAAGGTAAATCAAAGATAATGTGAAATAAATAGTTGGACAAACACTGAAAATATGAAGGTAGATATATTTGTTTCTCAAAGTTAGAGCCTTATAGTTACATTTTGAAAAATGAAGATGTTTTGAAATGAAACAAAATGATATGTCTAACTTGGGAGAAGAGGATTTTTGGAGAGAAATGTGAGATGTGTGTCATTCATAAGAATGTTGTAGGAGCAACCCAAATTTGGTGGTTGTGGTCATTTGGATTTTATTTTCCAAAATAGTTGAATACATGTTTTTTTGCTTCAAACTCCCTGGAATCTGAAGATATTTAATTAAAATTTCCCATTCATTTTATTGAAAATTAATTTTCAGATTGGATTTCTTAACTGAATATCTTTGAACATACCAGGTTGTGTCATACAGACCCTGTCTTCATTGGTAAATTTGATTATAGGAATGACATCTGCAGAGTATACTGCTGACTTAAAGTATACATCTGTTGTCAGAATTCCTGCATATGTTTAGATGGCAGAGACTTCAGGCAGCTTCTGCAATATAGTGAGAGCTTTTATGAAAGTAATGCCCCCTGTTTTAGTATGTTGGCCTATGACAGCAGAGGTGGATGTTGGTGGTATGGCAGTAGAAGTTGAACCTTCCCACCAGTGTCCCATTATGTTTTGTTGCCATGTGACAGGTGGCAGCAGAGAGGCAGTCTGAAGTATGAAGCAAAGGTGTGTTACTGAATTCTTCCATGTGGAAAAAATGGCACCCATTGACATTCATCGATACTTCACAGAATCACAGAATATCAGGGATTGGAAAGAACCTTGAAAGGTCATCTTGTCCAATCCCTTTGCCAGAGCAGGAACACCAAGATCAGTTACCTTTTTGTGCAAGTTCTGACACTCCTCTCCCCATCCTGTTCAGCCTCCTGCTGCTTATTAATTCCTAAATGTTTGCATTTAGACCAAGCAGTAATGTGAGTACAGTGAGGCTGTGAGTGGCATGTTTCTGCAATGGCAACAGTGATGTGAAAAACAAGCCACATTCCAAATGGCCATGCACAGCTGTCACATCATGAAATGAAGAGTGTCTCAATTAGCTCATCTGTATGAGTTGGTGAATTACCAGGGAGCTGAATATCAGTTTCAGTGCATTGGAAATGATAGTGGCAACATTAGAGTATCACAAAGTTTGTACTAAACTCCCACAAATGCTTGTACAGGAGCTGAAAGAATACCATATGCAAGTTTTTCAGGACCAATTGAACCAATATGAGGCAGTTGGTAACAGTTTCTGGGGTTGTATAATTACCAAGTGTTAAGACACGGTGTCACCACTACAAGAGAGTCAGAATGGTGGTCCGTGGAGTGGTGACATGAATTCCTCCTCAAAGAAAAGTTCAAGATGCAGTCCTCTCTGGGTACAGTGATGTGCACTGTCTTTTGGGATAGGAAAGAGCATAATCCTTCTGGATCTCCTGGAACCCGGACAAACCTTCAGTTCTGAACTTTACACCATAATTCTGACTAAGCTGAAGGCTCAAACTTCCAGAGTCAGGCCAGAGAAGAAGACCACCTTTCTCTTGTAACATGATAGTGTCAGGCCTCACGTCAGTTTGAAGTCCATGGAGCACATTGGCAGTCTTAGGTGGACTGTCCTACTACACATACTATATAGTCTGGATTTGGTGCACTCTGATTTCATTTGTTTGGGCTGCTAAAAGATGGATTGAGTAGGCAACAGTTTCCTGGCAATGACACTGTCATAGCAGCTGTGAAACAGTGGGTCACCTCTGCTTCTGTAAATTTTTATGAACTCAGCATGCAGACTCTTGTTTATCACTGGCAAAAATCCATAGATAATGGTGGTGACTGTTGAAAAATAATTTTTTGAAGCTGAAAATTGTCTTTATCATAAAAAGTTATTGTGGGTCGTTATATCAGTGGAAATAAGTAGGAGGCATTACTTTCAGAATGACCTATGTATATCTGTCACCTAAATGCAAAGAGAAACTAAAAATAGTCAAGAGTTCGATTAAATGCTAATTTGTTTGAGTAGCAAGTGCTGACCTGGTTAAAATGACTGTACATTCCCACCTTTGTCTGCTTACTGGGAGATGAACTCTCTGTGTTAAGCTAAAAACTTTGACAGGCACTGCTTCTTTTATATATATGTATTTCCTTTTTTTCCCCATGTTTCTTATTTCTTCTCTTATTAACATCTCTTATTTATTCCAAAGAAGTGGGCAGATTGTTATTATGAGTGAGTGTAGATGTGAAGCAGGTGGAGAGTATTCATGAGAAAACAGAACAGTGACTTGAAAGGCAGAAGCCAGTGTCCTTGGAAGACTGAAGAACCTGTGTTCTTTAAACAAAGGTGGGGGAAAAGCTAATGAAAGCCCTGGTAGTCATCACTAAATGTGTAAGTGGAATCTGCAAAAAAAGAAAGCAGTATTCCAGTGTGTATCCTGAATACAAGTTAAGTATTCTCCATTTTAAGGTGATAGTTAAAACATACAGGTTAAGCTTTCATAGTTATTTCTCCTCCATCTTGTTTGTATACTCAGTGTTCCAAGGCCTAATATGTTGAATTAAATGATTTCTAAAGATATTTTAGCCCTAATTTACATTATTTCTGTATTGAAACAGAAGAAATTCCAGGAAGTTCTCTAAAAGGATCATCCAGGAAACTTCTTTGTTCTATTTGTTTGTATTATTATTTTTTTTAATGCTAACTCAATACTTTCTTTTGTCCTCTTAGGTGAAATACCTTGGGTAGAAGAACCGTGTATTTCACTTGAAACTCCTCAGTGTCCAGCTGGGTAGGATAATTTTAAAAATCTCTTTAATAAATAAAAACATGATGCTCAGAAATAGTCAGTCAGCTGAAGGAGGTTTTTAAGAGGTTAGAAAAACGGAAAGTTTACTTAGAATAAGGTGCTGCCCATAGGGATGTTCTGTAGAAGTGGAATGTGGCTAGTACTGTTTTTTCTTTCTAAAACCTTTGTCATTTTGTTGCAGATTCATTTATCATTTACAAGGTAGAACAGAGTACAGGAGTTTGAATCCAGATCGTAAGTCATTCTGCAAAGACCTGGAAAAACTATTAGAGTTAATTCAGGATTCACGTAGCACAAATTGTTCATGGTCCATTTAAGGTTGCTGACATAGTATCTCTGATAGTATAGATAAAAAGGAAGCTGTAAATGTATCATTATGTCTGCAAAAGCTGGAACACAGAAGATTTGATGCTCACTTTTAGTTATTTTGTATAGATATTTACCTACAGATGGACATCTTAGGTGTAGATTAGCCAGAAATATAGTGTAAAAGTTGTTCTCAAAGTAAAATGGATTATTTTCTGGTTCAGTTACAGTATTTTTGATGTTATCCTCGTTATCTATTTTACTGGCACACCATATTATAGCAATAATACCTTTAGTAGTGTATTTTCTTTCTAAAGTTCAAGTGTTCCTGCATGCACCTCCCAGAGCAATACAAAAATGCACTTCTAAGTTATTAGTTAACAAATAACTTCTCAAGTTCACAGTTTCATAGCCAAGAGCTTAAAAGCTTTGTGTGGAGAAAGACTTACATGCCATGAACACTGCTATATGGAGCTCCATTTTGGTTCAGACTCCACTCAAGAAGCTGCTTTATTCAGTGTTTTTTATACATACTGTTGATGCCAATGTGCTTTACTGTTTTGAAAAGAGCACTGTGAATGAGAAAATAACTGGGACAATTATTGTCCCAGTTTTGTTTCTTGTGATATTGTGAAAATGCAACTTTTTTTCTTTCTTTTTCTTTTCTTTTTTTTTTTTTTTTTGTTATAATTCAAGGAATTACTCAAAACAATTCATGCGGAGTCACTGCATTTAATTAATAGTTATTCTCTCTCAGTGTTTTCCAGGTTTATATAGCAAATCTTCAAACCTTTCTGATGAATTACAATTAGTTGGGCTTTTTTGAGGTATTTTGTACAGTGGAATCTATTTCAAACTACATTTCTCATTTAATGGTAGTCTTTATATGTTGCTAATGTGACCTTGCAACATATAATGATGGTTAATAGACTGAATCACAAAACTAGACTACTTAATCCTACAGAATATTTTCTCTTCAAATTATGAAGAAAAATGCTATAACACTATCACTTCATATCTGGTAATGTATTTTTGAGTCCTTTCAGACTGGTTAGAAGATAGTATTTTTAATAACTTCGGTTTTTTCACAAGTAGCACTTCCTAATTAGAATTTTTACAGCAAAAATTGAAAGACTGTTCAGGAGATAATTTTTTATTTCTGCACTTTTTATCTACCTGTCATCTGAGCTAAGATCTGAGGCTTTTTAATCTTTATTCTTTACATAATGTCTTAATAAAGTCATGGGTAGCTGCATTCTTGTAGCTTTAAGTGCAATTTGTCATTGCACTTAGGGTGAGAAAGTGTTCAGTGAGGGCTGGGAAGGTTGAAAGATTTAAACCACAAAGAACTTGAACTACTCGATAATGTTTTCACATAGCAAATGCTGTAAGGCAAGAGATTACCTCAAACCTGGCATCTCAAGGAGATTACATTCCCCCTGAAGCCACCGGAGCCTTGCTGCCTACTGGGTGATTGCTGTGTTTTCACAGTCCTTGGTGCAGCTGTCCTGAGATGCATAAAGAGACAAGAGACAGAATCCAACTCATTAGTATGTTCAGAGGTGCTTTGGTTGTCCTATACTCTGGGCTTGAATTTGGATCCTAGTCTGTAGATTTATGTTTGTAATTAAAAGATGAAAAAGAACCAAACAACTTATTTTCTTAGGTTCTATACTTACTGAGTAGCTTATATTTTATTCCTCGACTGTTTTCTTTTCAGGAGAATTGTGTATTTGTACTATTTGTTTATCTCTCACCATGATAATAACTCTGGAAAGTATATGGGTGTTCTAGATCCTGCTTATAAAAAACAGAATTTATGTATTGCAGTTAATGACTTTAACAAGTCTTAATTCGCCAAACTCCTTAATGATCAAAAAGTGATATTTTCTTGCAGATTTGATCTGCCACCACTTATCCTTTTCTCAATGGATGGTTTTAGAGCAGAATATCTGCAAACATGGAGTTCTTTGCTGCCAAATATTGAAAAGCTCAGTAAGTTACCCGGAGTGCTTTGTGTCTTTTCTTTAGAAGTCTGCATATAGCCTTTCTAGTTCCTTTTGCTGCTATGTTGTTCACAACTGTTTCTCAACAATAAGATCCCAAATCAGGTCTCTATCATCAGTTGTATACTTACAGTATTTCATATTCTACATTAATTCTTGTATCTGAATGCACAGCAAACATGGCTTTTTTTTTTTTTTTTAAAGCCAATTAATATTGGCTTGCAGCTTTTTATTACACAAGTAGTTTGAAACATACATTCAAATACATTTTAAAGCTGCAAAATAGTTCCAGAGCTGGATTTCATTCATTCTCTGTACTCTATTAAAACTTCCTACTGATAAGGAAGAACTGCGTTGGGTTTTTGGGAAGTGTCCCTCAAAGATGCTCTTTTAAAGGTCACTGTCTGGATCTACAGGGAGTAGTAAAGAGGAATTCCTTTCTTTGTGAAAGGAAGACTGTAAAGCTGATTTGTAACATAAAATTTTCCCTCTCTACCAACCTAAGCTTGCATTTTTGGTGGAGGTAGTTAAGCAAGTTGTTACAGAATATATACACCATGAAGGTAATCACAGTGTAGACCTACCTTACAAGGAAACATGAGAATGTATGTGTTATAGTTTGAAGTCAGATTTCCCCTCTAATAGCATAGCAAATCAGCAATTAACTGTTGTAATTTTTTCCTGTCTTTAAAACTGTTAGTTTTCAATTTGAATATATATTTAGATTTGAATATATATATTCAAATCTATATGAATTGTTATCTTTTGCAGAAACATGTGGCACACATTCAAAATACATGAGAGCTGCTTACCCCACAAAAACATTTCCAAACCACTATACTATTGTCACAGTAAGTGAGAGTTTGTTATTTTTACTTGTCTTTATCTAGACAACACAGAAAGAATCCTGTGGTGTCAGGGAATTAACTCATCTAATGACTAATGACATGGGAAGTGAAGATGTAGAAGTGAGGGACAGATACTGTGTATAAGGAAATAAATGTTGGCTATGTGGTTATGTCTGTATGTTACCATATTCTGGTCTGTGAACCAGTTATTCCTGGCCCTTGCCATTCTAAGTGTATACAGATGAGTATGGATGAGAGCACTGCCATTTGATGAGTGTCTTGCTGGGATAGGTTTGGCAGCTGATACATGGCCATGGGACTTAATCTACAGCAGATCAGGTTTTAATTGGGCTGTGAAGACGACAGGGAAACTAAAAGGGAACTTGAAAGGCACACTGAATTCACTAGTAGGAATGTGATATTCTATGGGAATTATAAATTATGTTCTGTTTCTGTGATAAAACAGCCATAAAATAATTGTAACACCACATTGCAACGTAATTTAAGATCATAGGTTCATAGGTTTTTACTTGTTTCTTTTCATTTTGCAGGGATTGTATCCAGAATCTCATGGTATTATTGATAACAACATTTATGATGTAGATTTGAACAAGCATTTCTCACTTTCAAGCACAGAAAAATTTGAGCCTTCATGGTGGCAGGGTCAGCCAGTAAGTTTACTTCTATTTATGTTGTATCTCTATGTCTAGTGGCTCATATGCCATGTTGTTAAATAAAACAAAAAGAGAACAAAATGCAAAGTTGTGTGATATATTTGCAGTACACGGTAAATGTCATGTAGCCTTCATATTGTAGGCTGACTGTGAAACAGTTCACTTTTTGTAAAGATAGAGGAACTCCTAAAATGTTAACACTGAAACTTAAACCAGCACTTATCCTTTTCATAATGGATGGTTTTAGAACAGAATATCTGCAAACTTGGAGTTCTTTGCTGCCAAATATTGAAAAACTCAGTCAGTCTGATAGGGTTTGTGTGGAGTTTGGTTATTTTTTGACAACTATCTAAAGAATGAAATCTACAAATCTACTTCCAGAATACATCATTTTATAAAACAAACAAACAGCAACAAAAACAACATAACAAAAGTATTTTCAATGTCCAGGCATGTAAAAGAAAGGGATAGAATAACCAAGAACTTCATTTCCATCAAAATGAGTATTTATGTGTACATTTCGTCCCATTTCATCGAAGAAGCACCTGTGATTATAATGCTATTCATTTACTAGAAATATCATGCAGTACAAAAATGGAAAAAATATAAACACGTAGTATCTGCTTAACGTATCTGTTTAATATACACACATATATATGTGTATATATATATATATAGGGACAGAGGAGAGAGTTAAATATATATCCACTTGTAGTCCCTATATATACTTATATATAGTATCTGTGTGGTGATGTTTCTAATATATTATAGTGGCCAGGTTTTACGGCTACTGTTTCCTGAAGGATTCAGTCAGGCTCCTAACAGAACTGTAGCTGGGCTCTGTGAGATGAATAGGAAAACACCTTTTTACAATAAAATCATATAACTGGAAATCATATCTTCCATGATCACAATCCATTGCAGTGGATTCACTTATCCACTCCACCGAATGTGTCATTGGATAGAAGGTCACTCACTGGCTGTTGTCACCTATGAAAATATCTATATGACATCATTTCTACACTGAGAATTCCCAACAAATGGCAACATGTTGACTCCTGTGCTACAATTTTTTTTTCAGACTATGTATGTAAGAAACAAACTTCAAATCAGATGTGTTTGTTGGTCAGCAGCATGATGTATGAAAGAAGAAAGGGAAATGTATTCTTGTAGGCCACATTCCTAAGCCATTTCAGTATTTTGACTCTGGTCATCTGAGATCCTCCAGCAGTGTTAATGCCATAAAATTGTTTGTTTGTATCTTTATCCATAGATATGGCTGACAGCAATGTACCAAGGTCTGAAAGCAGGCACCTTCTTCTGGCCAGGCTCTGATGTTCCAATTAATGGTACATACCCCAACTTTTTCTATTTATTCAACGGGTAAGTTTTTATCAGGATTATGGTAAATTGCCTTAAATTACTACAAAAATTCAAAATGCCATATAACAGCTGAAGGAAATAAAGAACAAGACTTTTTAAACACCAGTCTGAGTGACAAGTTCCCTGTTACATAGTTATGATTTTACCATGGAACTACCATTAACAGTTAAATTTTAGGCTATTCACAATAATAAAGCAAAGGTTATTGTATGTGTGTTATCCCCTGAGACAGTTTTAAATGTTCCAGCCAACTGGAAACCACTAATTTCCCACTGGGAAGCCTTCCTATGACGTAACCACTTCTGTGTTATTATAAAAACTGCCACATTTTAACACAAAAAATTCCCACATAATATCTATATCTATCTATAATATCCTTCACAAGTTCTCCTACTTGAGAATAAGCCTTCCACTAAATTAAACCCTAAGTAACTCAGAAGCACTGGCGTGAGCCTATACAAGGCAGAAACTTGTTGAAGTAAGACCTCTGCATTGAGAAGCTACTGAAGGAAGATGGGCTGTAGACAAATTCCCTCTGATTTTGCTTGAAAGTATGATAAAGTGCACATTGCTGCTAATTCTCAGGTTACATGCATGAAAATACAATAATAACCTTCATAGTAATCTTTTTTCTTGTGGAAGACATTGATACCAGCAAATGATTTCAAAAGTTTTATAGTTATTTCAGTAAATGATGATTCTTCATAATTACTAAGTAAATCTAAAGTAAGCATGTAATTATAAGTATTAACAGATAACAAATGTTTGGCTGTGATATCTAGGATTGGTACTCAGAAAACAACTGAGTACCATAGTTTATTAACATGAAGCTTATGCATGACTTTGTGGAAAAGTAGAGATATTAAATGAGTAAAACTCATTCACAGGAAAGAGAGCATGACCTCATGAAGATTTTTGTGGAGACATTGCTTGCTTTTAAAATATGAAAGTCCAAGTTCTAGACGTGGTGGAAAGAATGAAAAAAGAGTCTGACTTGTATTTCAGGTTTTTCTGAACTTGAAAACTCCTTTTTTGCATGTATTTACTTTTAAACATATAAATAATCCCACCCATATTTCTGTTTTCAATATCAGGGTCTATCTGTTTTATCATTAAAAATGCATTACATTCAATCAAAAATAAAAATAATAAAACTGATTACTGGTATATTAATGTGATACATCATTCTTGCAATACAAGTCATTGTCTTTACCATACAGGGTGTGCTCTGTATATATATTCTTTGAAATTAGAAGGGCAAATCAGAAAGGACTTGTTGATATACTTTTTTTTTTTTTTTCAGTTCAGTTGCGTATGAAGAGAGAATTTCAGGAATACTAAAATGGCTTGATAAAACCAAATCTGAGAGGTAACAGCAGTATTCCAATGGTTTGTAAGAATACAGCTTGGAAGGATTTTAATACTTGGCAGCTGAGCTTTCTGTTGGTATTTGTGAAACGTGGAATCTTCCTCACCATCTCAAATGAGAATTTGCTGAACTTAAGCCTTTTCTATAAGTACAGCCTGTTGCACAAGTTAAATGAAATAACATCAGATGAGGAATCACTGCTTTTTATATTTGGAGTGATAAACTACCATGTGATATGTAAACAAGTGAAATCTTTTATATCATGATTTGTTAGCAGATTTCTCTTATGTATGCAGTTAAGAGGTACTCTCTAGAGCCTCATCACTTAAGCAGATTGAGGTAATTTTGGTGGCAGTTCCCATCTATATCCCAAGGAACAGCTTGATTTTTCTCTTCTAAGATTTTGAAGTTCTAGGGAGTGTTTTCTGGATTCTATTATAGATACTGGATACAGTTTCTGAAAATGTAATTTCAAATAATTCATGTTGGTTAACTACAAAACTCACAGTAATGTAGATGACTGTATTTGCTGTCTGGTTTTTGTTGCTGTTGTTAAGTAAATTGTATTTATTTACAATTCTGTACATATTTCCTTTCATTTCTTTTTAAAATGAAAGTATTCTTTTGTAATTATGTCTCCAAGTTTTCACAGTATTCCTTTTTTATTTACTTGTAACTCAAGGCCTGATTTCTACACTTTGTATATTGAAGAACCAGATACTTCTGGACATTCATTTGGACCAGTTAGCGGTGGTGTAAGTAGCTTTTTTGTTTTTACTAGACTAAATATCACTAAAAATGGATGAGTACTAAGAACTTATCCAATTTATCAACTTGGAAAAGATACTAGATCAAAAATTACCACAATTCTCATATGAGTTTTCATTCCATTATATTCTTGTTTGTGATTGAGCGTGCTGTTTGGATTACAGCTACTTTGGCTCATACACACTGCTGAAATCATAAGAGACTGGCAGAAAATCATTGCTGAACATGCTGTTAGAAATAATATTAAGTTTCAAGCTGCACGTATTTAAACTGAACTTGAATTTTATCAGCAAGGGATATTTGGAAGCGTGTAGCCTAGCAAATTCCCAGAACTGTCTTCTGTTTACTTTCCATACTCTACTTCAATGTTTCTTGTTTTGCAGTGTTTCCTTTTTACTTGCATGCACAGAAGATATTACATCTTTAAGGAGCCTAGGATTTACTGTAACAGCTCCCTCCTGGAATGATTTTGTGCAATATCCTTGAAAATAGTCTTCCACAGAGGGCCTTGTTATGGTGGACAGGGATGAAAAAACTCATCTTTGTAGGATAGTTTTAGTCTGTCTAAATTAGAAAGTGAAGTGAATTTCTCTTTGTCCACAAAAGGCACACAATCTGTGACTGCATGCGTAATTGCATATGTGTGTGTATTGTCCGTGCATGCAAGAAATTCGAGAGTGCAGCTAGGGGAACAAAAGGCATGCAAATGCTCACGCTCAGTCAGATCTTGTCCTTACTGCTCGCACTTCAAAGCAGACAATAAATCAGCTGTGCCAGTTAGAGAAGAACCATTCGCTGTGAAGTTCTGCAAGGTGGATTGTGCTAAATTTCTCACATGTCACTTCAGTGGTTGCTGGTGATATTCTGCAGGAAGCTTAAAGGGACTTAAGTGACTTAAATGCTGCACTGGTCTAATAAGTAACATGTGTATGTAAATATTTTCAAAATGCCTCTTATTGATAATACAACGGCATCGTGATATTACAAAAAATTACGTGCAATGCTATAAATATCACATTTTATATAAATTGAGAGTATGGAAAATTTGATCTTAATGTGTAACTTTTTTTTCAATTAATAAATTTTAAATAGAAAAAAAATTAATAGATTTTAAAAAAAAAGTACTTAGTATAGGAAATCCTGTGGTGGAGTAGCGGGCACACCTGTACTCCAGTAGGGATGGCAAATTGCACTGGAGCAAAAGAAAGGAAGCAATATTAAGAACATGAAAGCTAACAGAAAAACATGCTTTTTTAGTCTTTCATGTTTGCATTAAGTGATAACTTGTAATCAGTAAAAAGGAAAGGTTCTAAGGAAGCTTGTTTCTCTCACAGGTAATCAAAGCTTTACAGCTAGCAGATCAAACGCTGGGAATGCTAATGGAGGGGCTTAAACAGAGAAACCTTCACAACTGTGTAAACCTCATTGTTTTAGCTGATCATGGTAATGTATATCATTTTGTTTCTCAGTGTTTCTCTTCACTGAGTCATTGTTTTCTTTTGCTGTATAATATATGTACTTATTACTTTAAGTTAATTTTATAGTTCACTTTATCTAGAAAAATAACTGTTTCTGTATTCTTTAGGGATGGATATGACCTACTGCAGCCAATTAGAATACATGACTAATTACTTCAGTGAGATTAATTTCTACATATATGCTGGGCCTGCAGCTCGCATTCGAGCACGCATCGTTCCACAGAACTATTATACTTGTAAGTGTGGACCAATCCTGGGATTGCACAAGCAGTACGACAGGAAATAAGTTAACATAAAGCAGACTTTCCTTGGCATAAATCGCAGTCTAAGTCAGACAGGAACAAGGTATTCTGAGTAGTCCAGTGGAGTGAATAATGTTGTTTTTTTAATGTGACTTAATCTCCTTATAATTGTTGAATCATTTCTACTAGTGGTCTTACTCTTTCTGAAAGAATTTTCCTTTGTAAAGTGTCCAGATTCGTTTCTCAGAAAGCTGATGTTTGTAACTGAAGTTGCTCTTCTAAAATGTGAAAAGTGAATGCGCTAAACCATGCTGAACTATCTTAATGTATATCATCTTTCCTTTGTAACAGTTGACTCAGAAGGAATTGTTAAAAACCTCACAGTAAGTAAATATTTTAATACTTTTTCCTAGTAGTCACTTTTTTTACTTTTTTTTTTTTTTTTAGTTCAAGATATACATTAATACATGTGGGGTGAGTGTGATGTACAAACTGGGACTCATTTGAGAAACTTGGTGCCTTGTATTTCTTTACATTTATCATTTGCAGTGAGTTAAGCATAAAAACAACTCTCCATCTTTTCTTTCCTTCGGTGCCAATTTGTTTTCTGTTTTGTGACTAGTCCTAGTCCAAACAGTTGGACTAGACATCAGAACAGGCAGATGTTCTGATGCTTTTAGAAAAACTACTCAGCTTGTAAAAATACTGGGCTATCTCATCTGGGTATATTTCTGATGAAGTACCACTAGATGTCTTCCTGTAACCTGCTGAACAACTGAATGCTGAAAGTATGCTACCTGTAGCTTTTGTGAGCCACATGAAGTCCAAAGAGCAGTAAACTTTCCTGGTTAAATTCTTATTGATTATGAATGCCTTAGAACACACCCTTTGTTCCTCAGCATACAAGGACGCATGGAAGTAGAATATCAGAGGTTGAGAAGGAGCCTTTTCAGTGTTGCACTGTCTAACCCACTGACCTGGAACATTTCATACCAAAGAGCATTCTCTAAAGGCAACTGCAGATTCTGCATATTCTCTTCCCTTGTTGAAACTGCTACCTTTATTAGTTATGAGGAGAGGTGTAACATCTCTGTCTTCTAAGAATAACCTGGTATGAGGAGATTTCCTCTTCCCCTGTCAGTTCATACTTATTGCTTGTGTATTTTTTCTCTTTCAAGTTGTTAGGAGGAAGGTTTTGGACAGAGAAGGGAATTATGTATTGTATATTGCTGAAGTCATTTCCCTCAATTTTTTCTCTTTAATTAGAGTATTGTTTGCAGAATGATCTCTTCCGAGCAAACAGAATTGCTGAATCCTTATTTTTCATTTCCCACTAAGTTTCTTAGTTTACTATTAGGGACATTTACTTTCATTTCACACAATGATGTCCTTCTACGCAGAGCATACAATTCTAGGATTTAAAGGTGAAGATGTCAGATCAGAGTCCAAGCATACTGTAGTCTTATGTATCGTCCGTGGAATAAAATATGTCCATTTCTCTGGCTTAAACAACTGGCTAGCAGCTCTTCACTTGATGTTTTCAGTGTTCACTGTTGCCCCAGTGCTGGATTAGTGAACTGGATTGATGTCTCTGAAACATCACTATGATGATTTCTGGCAGCTGGAGTGGTTCCTAATGACCATATACAGTTAAATCATTGCAGCATGTTGTTTTGCTGTCAGTAGACTCACAGTGGCATGCCTCTTAACACAGCAGTTATATTAACACATTAAATGTGGATGTAAAAGTCTTCATCTAACAACTGAGCACTAGACATCACCTGTTCAATCTTGCAGCTAAAACTCTAGACTGTACTGTGTTATGCATACTTGGTTTTCTTTGCTATTTATTGAATGGTGTAGTGATAGAAGATGGCAGAAAATCATTAGCTGCTAGGAAACATTCTCCTGTGGGTTGTGAACTTACATACCAAATGCCAGTGGCATTAGTACAGACATATAGAGTAAGCATTACTACTGTCTTTCAGTCTTAATATTACCTTTACCACAGTATTGGTGTGCTAACTGTTATAGCAATAAATATTATAAATAAATATTATAGTAATGTATTTCAGTTCCAAAATAAGTCACTTTTCATTCTGTTGCCTCTTGGGCCAGAAATGGGATCTGCAGGTTATTGAAGAAGCACGCTCCAAATAATATGTTTTGTACTTATATTCCTGTCACTAGGATGTTTGTGATAATAAGGAATGATTTATGGTGTATTTTTGACACTGCATGAAATTCACTACTGGATTTTCTTCTGTCATACAGTGCAAAAGGTCACCTCAACACTTTAAGCCCTATCTGACACCTAACTTGCCAAAACGATTTCATTATGCTAACAACATTCGTATTGATAAAGTTCATCTTCTGGTGGATCGACAGTGGCTGGCTGTGAGGTATCATCATCTTTATCATCATGCTTTTTCCTTTTAATTTCTCTTACTAATACTTCCCTCATATTCAACTTTTCACCGATGTCCTGGTGCCTCTGAAAACAGGATACATGGGCATGACAAGGGTGTTGAATCAATATAGAATGACTATCTCTTTATTTTTCCATGTATCTCAGCAACAGGTAAATTTAAGCAAGTGTTAGTCATCATAAGAAAAGGTCTCAGTTCAAAAATGGGCATTTCTTCTTTTTTTTTAAAAAACATTGATTCAGTAGCTGTATAGGATACATTGTTTCTTTTCATCACAATCTGCATTACCAGACAGAGAGATCTATGTAGGCTTGAACACATGATGAGCAAAAGTAGTGCAATATTATTTCAGAGTCAGTTGTAATAACATTATACAGGGTCTGTGATTCAGGTTGATAATTATTAGCTGACCTTATTTATGCCATTTTAATTTACAGTGTATGATGGTTTCTCCTTAGGGACAACAGTTACACATTTTGTGATCAGGGTAACCATGGTTATGACAATGAATTTAAAAGTATGGAGGTAAGATGATTTTGATTTTCAGCTCTTGCATCTTCTCATATAGAAAATCAGAATGTGCTAGATGAACCAGGATAATATGTGTCACTTTTTGCAGTGTGCTTTTTCTTATCTGTCATCCAGACCTGTAAACTGTGAACACATACTAGATACACAGATTTCTATTGCTTTTCATCAATGTGTACATGTCTTGGCGCTTTGGACCCTATAGTAAAACTTATTTCGTCTCACCTTAACTCCATAGAGCTATTAAATCAAGCATCTGTGTTCAGATATGGAACAATAAATTCTTTCCTTTTCTACTTAAGCAAAGACTGAAAAAGCTCCATAAGCTCTGGGAATTCAGTAGAGCATCTGAAGGCCTGCATGCTCAAATTAGAGTAATCTAATTTTTTCTGCTTGTCTTACAAGCCCTACACATGTTATCAGAACAAAAGAAGTCATTTTTTTGTAACTTGTGTATTAGTGTAGCTTGTACTGAAGTTTTTTCTCATTTTCACTTCTGGTTACAGTGAAAAAATGTCAAAGTCTTGAGCTTTTGAGCTCCAGAGGATACATTTCTTAATGTACTTTCTTTAAGCAAGGTTGAGCATGCCCGTATTCTGTGTGTAGTAACCAGAGTCTTCCAGATATTCACAACTGTATTAAAATCACATTTATATACCAATAAGAACAGTGCTCAATGTTTGCATGGTAAAAAAGTTTAAATTCTGGAAACAGTAATCATAGATAGTCTTACAGTGGTGATACAGTAATTGAGTAAACATGATTTTTCAAAATAGTAATGTCTTAATGTTGTATTTTAAAATAAATTGAGGATTCTTTGCCTATTATGAGAACGTAGGAATATTATTTTAAAATAAATTGTTGTCCTGTTTAGTCATTTTCCCAGTGTTTCATGGCAAGCAGCTCAGGAGGCTTATAAATTAACAGAAATTAATGTGAGACTGAAGGTTGTATTAGTGCTCTGTCAAAATGCTTGCAGACCCCAGCAGGGGCTGCCCAGTACCATTGGTGGTACTGCCTGAGGTCTCTGCAAAGCTTGAGATGGGTTTCCTTAGTTCCCTGCTGCTTGCTGTAGGCACCTAAGCTACCCAAAGACTTTTGCTAATGTAACATATGTTTAAACAAACAAAACAAAACAAAAAAAAAAACACCACAAAACCAAACCTTTTATTTCTGGCTTGATGTTAGCCTTTAAATGGGATGTATGAGTGCCATGACTCTACATTTCTTGAAATGGCATAACTTTTACCAGCTGTTGGAATTAAAAATTGAAAAGGAGTGAATTTGAAACACATCAAAAGATAATTTTCATAAATATAACTGAAAATGTTAAAGAAAGAAATAAAAAAAACAGATAAGAAAACAATTCTTCTTCAAGTTATATGCAATGGGCAAAATTTGCCTTCTTGATCAGAGCAATCCTGTTTTGTAACTTTTATGACAGTGTCCCTGTTCAAATGAAGTACAACTGAATTACTTTTTAATATGAATTTCTTTACATAACAACTTTTGTTTTATTACAATCTAGGCTATATTCCTAGGATATGGCCCAGGCTTTAAAGAAAAAACAGAAGTGGATGCTTTTGAAAACATAGAGGTTTACAACCTTATGTGTGGTGAGTAGAAAGCATCTAGTGCTTAAAACTATAAACCAACAGTGTTTTCAAATACAGGTGTGCTGAGAGCTAAAGGGTAACTAAAACTGTAATGAACTCATCCAAAAGCAAAGTTTTTAATACAAAATGCAAAAGCCATGACAATTTGCATTCTTTATGCTGAAACATTCACTGCCAGAACTTGTTCTGCTTTGGATGTTGTCCTGATTGCAGGAGTCCACTAAAGAACCAGAGAGAAGTGCTCCTGCCACTTGGGCTTGCTGTTGAAATGGTACCTGTGGAACCATTTTCTGCTAAGAACCTTGTAGAGGGTTACAACTCTTGTATCTTGAGGTGGATGATTGCAGCCCTGGCAGTGAGCAGTTAGGAAGTATAAGCCTCAGAAAATATGGATTAAAGGATCACACAAAAATGCACTAAGCTAATATGCTTCATAATGTGATGATTTGCAAACAAGTTTATAGTCTGCATAAAATTGGAGAACCTTAAGAATGTTACGGCAATGTATAAAATTGTGTGAGTAGTATTCAGATATATTGATGCAGTGGGAATACCAGTAAAGCTTTTTATCTAGAAAATTGCATGATGATAGTAATTAACTCAATACTTTCAATAATTGAATAGGCTATTTTTTTCTATATTTAGAAGAAATGCATAGAAAATGGATAGAATTGCAGATTGCCACGTTAAAACTATCATTTTAGCTTTAAAATAGCTTTAAATTTGTTTCAAATTTTCAAATTTTCCAACAGATCTGCTGCAAATTACACCAGCACCAAACAATGGCACACATGGTAGCTTAAATCATCTGCTAAAAAAACCTTTTTACAGCCCTTCATATGCAAAAGAAGAGTCATCTCCTGTTTCATGTCCGGTTTCCCATCTGACTCCCGTAGATGAACTGGAATGCACATGCCAGGGTGTAAGTAGGAGTTTGGGAATATTTTAATCATGTTTGGCAAGTGTGTTCTTTTTTAATTTTGTAAACAGCAGAATCATTCTAAAGGATTCTATAATATTTTACAGGTGACAAATGCTTCAGAAATTAACGAGAGGTTAAATCTCACCACAGATGAAAGTAAGTAGTGAGAGATGAAAAGGACAGCAACATTTTTAAATTTATGACCATTTTAAATTGCATTTTATTGGTGTCAGTGGAAACTTTGGCAATGTTAACTACAATTTAATGTGAAATAGGAGAGCCAAGTCAGAAACTTAACTTTTTCCTTGTTTCTTTGAATTTCTATAAAAGATACTAATTGATGCTTTTGTAGTAACATTTGTGTGGAAGAACTAAATCTGAATCCAATTAAAATACTGGGAAAAATTATACAGGTTTCAGTGGAAAGCTTGTGCACTTCTGGACTGTATTGCCATAACTGTTTTTTTGCCACTTTGCTACCCCAAGCTTTTCTTTGGTGAAAACTCACTTCTTCTTCTTCTTCTTCTTCTTGTTATTATTATTATTATTTTATTTTGTGGTGCTTCTGGAAATTCTATGGGGCATTACAAAACTTCCCAGCCCAATATGATATAGTTCTCACTTCACTGATGAGTTCCAAAGTTTTATATATGAAATTACAAAGAAATGAGAATTTGAATGTCTGATGTCATACTTCTTTGAATGAAAACTATTTTATACACTTCTTTCCACTGAGCTAAGAACTTAAAAGTATGTACTTGTGTATATTGTCACTTCTATTTGTATTTATTAGTGCTTTAATTTACATTTTTCTTTGTCTCTTTTCTCTGCTTTCTTAAACCTTGATTCCATCAGAAATTTTATAGGAGAATGAATAAATATTTTTTTAATTATAGTAAAGAATGCAACTTTATATAATTTGCCATATGGGAGACCTCAAGTTCTTCAGAAAGAAAGCACCTACTGCCTCCTTCCCCATCATCAGTATGTGAGTGGATACAGTCATGATATCTGGATGCCACTATGGACTGCGTACACTGTGACTAATCCTGTAGGTTATCAGATATTAGTATAATTCACAAATGTGTAAATAAGGTGGATTGAAAATGTTCATTCATGAGGAATTCTGGTTAAAGACTGATGGATATCATGCGACTGAGGCCTTTATTTCCGAAAAGCAGATTAATGCAATGATGCATGTTTCCTATAGAAAGAGTACGAAAGAATAAATTTAAATCAAGGAGTACAAAGAGGCACAAGAGGGTCTTTCCATTTTTTTTTTTCTTTTCTAATTTGAACCAATCAAAATGGCAATGTTCTAAAATGCAATCGGAGTGTTCAACTTCTGTAAAAATGCGAAGAAATTAAATAGCAGGTAATTGAGTATGGAAAAAGAAAACACAATTACATATGGAACACATGCTTTGATATTTTATATGATGCTATATATTGTAATATATGATGCATTATATTGTAAAATATAATGTTTTAGAAACAGTTACACTGATCAGCATCACTTTTTACCAATTCTTAGGTTGTGTGTATGTTAACGTATCTCAGTGGAAATTACTGAAGCTAGTCAGTAAAATTTACTCTGGTTTTATTTAACTCTTTAGAAACTCAGATTCTTATTATCAAGACAGAGTTTTCAGATGCTACAATGTGATGATATTGTCATCTTTATATATTCACTGCTTCTCAGCGGGATGTGATATCAAGTTTGTATTTCCATAAAAGGGATGAATGACCCAAAGTTGTCATTTGTTTTTGCCTAAGGTGAAACTTTACTCCTTCTGCTATAGTTTTACATGCCGCGTGAAGATTTTAGGGAATTACCTAAAAACAGAAAAAGAGGAAAAACACAAGGCAGAGAACATCAGCATCCATTGCTTACCCTGACCTGATTCATTCTGAAAACAGAAGATTCAATGAAGGCCATTTGAGAGAGTTAAAAACATACGGAGCATTATGTTGACCACAACCGTGGGTGTAATACTTTTTCTTTTTTTCCCTTTTCACAGGAAAGCACATCTTCTCTTCCTCCCACTGTTTCAGACTGTCTGCGGGCTGATGTTAGAATCCCCGTTGCTCATAGCCAAAATTGTTCCAACTACCCAGAAGGGCTGGACTTGACCTATGGTTTCCTCTACCCTCCCAGTGAGCACTGTTCTTTTTATAGCTGGAGTTTAGAAAGTCTTAATCAGCTGGATGTGGGTTTATGTTTAAACATATAACCAAGCACCAAAGCAAACTTCTTTGGATCAGCATGTTGGGCAGAAAAAATGTTTCCAGTGTTTGTAGACTCACCAAAAGCTAGACAACAGCTCCTTGCATCTAAATATTTTTGGCTTAGAGCATTTAGGTTTTTTTTTATTTTTTTTTTAACAGCTTGATTGTGATAACAGGTTTGAAAGGTGTAAATGGTTGGAATGAAAAGCTGTCTGTCTTTCCCTGTGTGAATATTCCTTTCCTATTGCCAAATTTGATAATGATTGCATTGAATAGACTATGTAAAAAATTTGAAGATACTAAATATGCAAAGGATTATACAACCATGCTCAGATGTCTACTTAATTACAAATTGATAGAAATCAGATAGTCCTTGCACAGAACCTTTGCCAGCATATCACAAAGGTACTGCACCATTTGTTGTATTTCAGAACATACTTTTTTTCTGGGGAACTAACTTCATGGGTAAAGGAAATTAAAAGAAAATTAATTTCATGAGAGTAGAATAGCTTGGAAGTTATAATAGCAATAAATACAGGGATATTGTGCTCTAATGGTTCCTACTCTGTGAGCAAATAAACTGAAATTATTCTGTGGAGTATTAAATTTCTTGTAAATTTCTTGGGGTAAGAAAATTTCTTGTTTAACTGTCATTGGTGTTTGTCATAATTATGATGGAAGTCTAACACAATATGCTTCAGACATAAATGTATTTGTATATAGTTTCACATACTTAGTGTCATAGAATCATTTGAGTTGGAAGGAAGCCCCAAGGTCACCTAATCCAACTCCCCTGCATTAAACAGGGAATGTTGTGTTTTCTTCAGAATAGAAGGAATTGTAAATGTTATGAAATGTATAATGATTGAACGACACGTACCTGCAACTTATAGTGATATCTATCAGATTTGTCTTTGTCTAGTATCTCATTAATGTATACTTTGCTCTTTTAAATAGATTTCAATTCATCTGCACTTGAACAATATGATGCCTTACTCACCAGCAACATTGTTCCCATGTATAGAGCTTTTAAAGGTAGGATCCAAGATTTTGATTAAATTTGATTAATTGCCTGTAAATGTAGCTCTGGATTTTGAATAGCTGTGACAAGGACTTAAAAACATTAATTTGTAGCCTTCAGTATATCCAGGTCTCATGCAAATGTATACAAAGCTTTAAAAATCAGATTTATAATATTTTAAATGCACTTATGTAAACTATTGTTTTTTTGTTGTTGTTTGTTTGTTTTTTAATGTTTATAAACCTACCAGCCCTCCGAACTCATGTTTGTTTGTTTTTTTGCCTTCATAACTATTCAGTTTCATTAGCTTAGAATATACAAGTTCTATTTGCTCAAATAACATGTTTAAATAAGCTGAATTGCCAGTGATATTTTATGTGAGTGCTGTAGAGTTACACTAGCCCTCAGGTGGTAAATATTTCATACTCAAAGTCATTATCTTGGATTCTATCAATTGACAGTTGTGGGTGCTAGCAGATAGGCCAGAAATAAATGGCCTCTCAGCTTTAGAATTGCATCTTTGTCTTCAGATCAAATGCATTAGCTATGGTAGTGCAGGAGCTTGCACAGGTGTGACAGCATTTACCATAACTCTTTAAAAGGTGAGAGAGTACAGTCCATACTTTCTAATGAAATCCAAACTGTGTGTGAAGATTTGTTTTTACAGGCATTTTAGTTTAAATTTTTTTGTGTTACAGGTAAGTAACAAAAAGGCACAGTTTTCCTTTTTTTCTTTTTTTTTTTTTTTTTAGTGGTGAAGTAACTGATTTTAAATTAAATATGCTTGTATTTTCTTTCATTTGCAGACATATGGGACTATTTCCATGATGAACTTCTTCAGAAGTATGCTAGAGAAAGGAATGGAGTAAATGTTATCAGTGGACCAGTGTTTGATTACAATTATGATGGCCATTTTGATACTCTTGATGAAATTACACAGTAAGTACATGGAAAATTCAAATGATGAGTTATTTCCTGCTGTACACAAACAAAATATTTTCATGAAGAACAAAAAAGCAAGTATCAAGGAGAATTGAATCTTCCCTTTATAATGATAATTCCACTATTACTCATTCAGTAATAGCAAGTTACCTTGCAAGCAGGTGTAATACTATAGAAACTGAAATTCCAGTAAAGAGAGAAAAAAAAAAAAAAAAGAAGTTATATGTGTAGCAATCTACATTTGTTCAGATATGGGCCAATATTTGCTTCCCAAGTTAATGCCTACATTTTTTGGCCTCTCTAGCACAAATACTGGGAGAATATGTAAATACACAGAAGACGCGTCTACAATTGTCTTGCTTTTATGCTGTACTGTCTCAGCTGTTTGTAATTTCTCCCAGTTTTCTCAAACTGTGTTTTACCAAAGATCAGTTTTGTGTCTTGGATGCATTCACTGAATCATATCACTGAGCAAATAACACATAATATTCCTGAGTGGTATTTTTACATATCTTACGCAGTTGGAGGTCCAACAAGTTCTAGATAGCTTTTAATGAACTTTGGTAGCATAACAAAATACATTTTAAAATTCAAAAGTGTGTAGAAATAGGACTAAAGGAAGACTTATGTAAAGCAGAATTCTGTGAAGTAGAAATATTAAGGGCAAATATTTATGCTAGTGAATGGTGACAGGAGGAGGAAAAACAAAACAAACAAACAAACAAAACGAATAAGAGCAAACAATTTGAATTGTGCCAAATATAGGGAATATATCTTTTGACAGTAAGAACACGTAAGCAGTAGACAACTGCTGGGAAATCTGCACTGCTGAATCTGTCATTGGAAATGTTTTATTCAAGGCTAGACTTAATACCACATCTGTCAAAAATGGTTTGAGAACGGGAAAATCTCAAACTCTGCCACGAAGTAGGAGGTTGCAAGGGAGGAGAGACTGGAACTTCCTTCCAAGCAGAAAGCTGTAATACCCAGTCAACCACATAATTTTGTCTACAGTTTTGAACAAGCATATTTTATTCAGCATGTTAGTCAGTCATACTAAGCAGAATAATGGTTTCACTGATGGTGTTTGGTTAAATCTTGAAGAAATGCAGCAAACTCAGGAAGCTCCTCAAAAGTTTATACACAAAAGTGGCCATGTCAACAGAACAAGCAACAAATTGAATAAATAAGTTCTGAATTAGGAATCCTAAACTGGTAGCTATGTCATCATTCCACAAGTCATCATTCTGGCATTGCTTGCTGACAAGAACCTGAGGCTCATCTTTTCTCTCTTCTGTTTAGTTTAGTGTGGTAAAATTCTTAATGTAATGAAGGGCACATGTGACATCCTTATCAAGCGCCATCCAGATGCAGAGATCTCTGACTTTGGCAAAATAGACTGCTGAGCTTGTTCTGTCATTTTCACATTGAAAACAGTGCTTGTGGCAAAAAGACTAATCCATGCATGTTTGGCTGTTCATGAAACAAATACCGAACTGTGAGTCCCTTCAGGTGTTAATTTAAATTTAAAAAAAAAAAAAAAAGTGATAAAATACTGAAAGATCTATGCTAAGATGGGTTTTATAAAACACTAGCAGCATCAATGGTTTTTATAGTTGATATCCAGATAACTTTCTTAACTAGTGTTTATTTTGTAGGCATGTAAACAACACACAAATCCCTGTCCCAACCCATTACTTTGTGATTCTGACCAGCTGCAAGAACACATCCTATACTCCACTGAACTGTGCAGGCTCCTTGGATGCTTTGTCCTTCATCATTCCTCATCGACCTGACAATACTGAAAGCTGCGCTGTAAGTATGGTTTTATATTTCTGTGTGCAAATGAGCTTTGTGAACTGATTTTCTGTGCAATTCTGAACAATTATCTGGAAAATCTTTAGATGTCTGAATATTTAACTGATTCATTCCCAGGAGCCGAGAATGAATTGATAGCTAGGGATGAAGCTCCAGAAAAGGTAGCAGGAAACATAAGAGTTGTTTGAAGAAATGAGGGCTTGATTAGAAAACTTGGAAATGTTGTCACCTGCGAGGGGAGTAAGAAGAGCTAACAACAGCAGCATAGCCAGTCGTTTGATGAGAAAACTTTGTGGAAGACTACAAGACAAACTTACTCCAGAGGTATTAGTGGTCTTAAAGTGTTTCTCTTTTCAAAGTAGTTAGAGGAATTTCTTCAGTCCTTTGTTCCACATATATAAAAAATTAGGCAGAAAGCAGTTAAAGTAGTTGAAAATCCTACTTGCCATTTCAGCATAGTTTTAACTCTGTGCTACTCTGGAGATGAAAGATTCCGGGACATCCATTTGGTTATTTAAATGAAAGGCTGCAAGGATGTCTAAGAAATCCCCCCCAAAAAAGTTCTACAAACTGAAGTCATTTAAAAGCCACTCTCTTGTTTGGTGGTTTTGCTAGACAATGACCAGTGCTTGCACGTTGTTCTTGTTTGCTTTGGCAGGATAACAGGTCGCCTTCTGAATGGGTTGAAGAAAGAGTTCAGGCCCATTCCGCTCGTGTTCGGGATGTGGAGCTGCTCACTGGACTTGACTTTTACCAGGAAAGACAGGAACCTATCTCTGAGATCTTACAGCTAAAGACATTTTTGCCAACATTTGAGACTGAAATCAACTGAATTTCAGTTTAAAAAGTGCCAGTATTTGGAAGGAAGAAAATCAAAATGATTTAACTTTTACCTGAGTAAATATGAGGGAAATGTAACTACAGCACCTCATCAAGAAAAGACACATGCACAGCTAATTTCTTTCCTTTCCTTTCCTTTCCTTTCCTTTCCTTTCCTTTCCTTTCCTTTCCTTTCCTTTCCTTTCCTTTCCTTTCCTTTCCTTTCCTTTCCTTTCCTTTCCTTTCCTTTCCTTTCCTTTCCTTTCCTTTCCTTTCCTTTCCTTTCCTTTCCTTTCCTTTCCTTTCCTTTCCTTTCCTTTCCTTTCCTTTCCTTTCCTTT